TTAGTTTTGCTTGGTTTAATATTTAAAAAAAAAAAAAAAAAAAAAAAAAAAAAAAAAAAAAAAAACTCGTTTTCCCCACCTTTTCTTACTAAAAAATTGGGTATTATTGCCATATCCATTTAGTTCTATTTATGTGAGACAAAATCTGCAACTGCTCTTAGTTTCTATCTAGTTATTTGCTCTTTCTCTCTCTCTCTCTCTCTGTGTGTGTGTGTGTGTGTGTGTGAACGTTCGTGTGCACATGCATGTGTTTTAATTTTGTTGGGATTAGGGGTAGGGCTGTATTGTGAATGTAAAAAAAAACTAGTAAACTTTGTCCCACTTTAGTCTGTCTATATGCCATTTTGGTCATCCTTTAGCATTAAATGCCTTAGATGATATTATAGGTAACGGGAAAGCAACCCAGGAAGTGAGAGGGGTTAGTTTTGGCTAAATTTGCTCTGTTTGAAATAAGTATGATTATGCCTGGTCTGGGTCAAGCACTGTTATCCTTTACTTAATTTGCGGCCAGTATCTGAGAGGTGCTGAGACCCTGGGCAGCGGGGTCTTCCCTTCATGATGAACTAATTGGAAAGTCACTCGTTGGTTCAATTAGGTGGTAGATATGTGTAGTAGAATTTTTTTGTTATAATCACATCAATGTGGTTGATAGGTATACTAACTTTGTATGCATAAACAATGTTAAGACAGCTAGTTTTGTAAATTGTTCTTCCTTGATAGAATACATCTGCTTTGCATGTAATAAATGGATTTGTATGTTGAATAAAATTAAAAGTCCATGGTTTTATCTCCATGCATCTGATGGCCTTTGGCAGTGGTTTCAGCTGCATCAAATGCCATTAGGTTCCTACATGAATTATCTGCCTTTTGCACTTAGATAAATTTTCTGGTGTTTGTGATATTGATGCAAAGACTCTTTCCACATCAACCGTAGAAAGAAAGAAAGAAAGAACATAAAGTATGAAGAATGCTTCCTGGTTTAAGATACTGACTTTGATTCTATATGTCTGACTTTTGGTGTTGAGCAGACTGCTTAAGAGACTAACCCAGGAGCTACAGACATCTGGGGTGGATTTGTCACAGGCTAACATCTCAGTTCAACTTGATGTTGGGAAGGGAGGAAATAGTGGCTCAAATGTTATTGCCCCCACTATAGAGGTTGGTTCTGAGTTTCTTTTTCTTCTATTTATTTCTTTTTTCTGAAACTTGGAGCTAACTGCTTGATAGAATGCTCTGATCATGCTAAATCGACATCTACATGACTTTCTTGACTGTTGAAAAGTGTACTTCTAGTCTGACATATGGGCATGGTTAATTTGACTTTGTACTGGATTTTTGCTTCAAAATTTCTGAATTAGGCCTGTTTTGAACTTGAATCAAGGTAGCCAGAATTCGAGTATTTGGATACCTTAGTTTGATCTGATTTTCCGTGACCTTGACCTGACCTGAATTGATTTTTTTATTCGTAAACAAATTGGTTGTCAAAAGACATAAATATGAATATGACCTGAACTTGTTCTAAACCAAACCAAAATGAACTGAATCTTCCATCTACTGAATATGATGCTAACCGAATTAAACCAAACTGAACCTAGTCCGAGTGAATTTGGTTGCCTTTTTTTTTTTTTCCCCGACTATATTGTCAGTAATTTCAAGTGTAGCATACCAGTACAATTCTGCTATTCATTGGTTTACATAGCTTAAGTTTCCATATTCTGGCGTTTTAAGTTGTTTGGGCCCCGAGGTTGTTATATACAAGGTGCAACCCAAAGATATTTTATGCTCATTTTGATGATTGAAGGATGATTATTGCTAACTTTTAAATATTGCTCATTTATTTAATCATCAAATGAGCAAATATTAACCTTGGAGGCATCTTGCACTTGGGTAGTCAGGTGTATATAAGAATTTTCAGTTTGGGCCAGGTATTGTTCCTGATATGCAGCACATTCTAATTGGTGGCTATTACTAGCTAACACAAACCCCCCCCCTCCCCCTTCCCTCCAAAAAAAAAAAAAACTCTGTGCTTTCAGATTAAATATTGTTTTTTTGCTGTACTAAAAACTTCCAGTGCCTTTCCAGGATGTTGATAATCAGTCTCCAATTAATCAGCCCATATCACATGCTGTGGAGGTAAGTGCAAAGGAGTCTATCCAGGCTGCCAAGAGAATCAGGACTGGAGAAAGGTAGTAATAACAGTCGTATAGGTTTTTTTTAGTCTGTGATTGCAATTGGAGTTACGGCTCTTCTTTCAAACGGTAAGTGCAAATGAGTATTTAGACTACCAAGAGAAAGCTACTTATTTGATTAGTATAGGTTTTTTACTCTGTGACTGCATATGGGGTTTTGGCTCTTCTTTCAAATGTTAGTTTACCCTTTTTGGCCAAGGGCAAAGAAGAACCAGGCTGAGTTAGAGAAGAGGTTTTCGGTGTCTATTTTAACGTCAACCCCAACCACCAGATTGTAGATTCTGCTGTACATGTTTTTTTTTTACTTTTGTGGTAAGTGGGTTAAAAAAACAAAATAGAGCTAATTAATAGTATTATATGACTTGTAAATCTTTTGCATTTCTAATGCATCTCAGAAACATTGATTTTCACTGCTGCATTCTTATATTAGCTTGGCACTTGCCAGCATTCCAGGTAAGATGTAATGTTTAATATGAACTTCATGTTTACGGAATGGATTTTCTGATTACATATACTATGAAGTACTGGCTATATTATGATGCTTTTTTTTTTTTTTTTTTTTTTTTTTTTTTTTTTTTTTTTTTTTTTTAATGATTTCGGAGTATTAAGTTTAACCATTTTTTCTTCACCATTTTCTGGTTATCAATATCATGGTACATGCTTTAGCCATCTGACCTGTTGCGCTACGCTCCCGAGTAGAGTTAGATGTTTGTGTGAGGTGATACCTTTAGGAAATGAACATGAACTCACAGACGCCATTATGGCACAATTTCATCTAGACATCTAGAGTTACCAGATCCATATTTGGTGGACATTAGTTAACTCATATTTAGTAACCTAGATTTTCTGCGCTGGATTTGAATTGTTCGTAATTCAAACAAAGTAACTTGTTTTCAACTCAAAACTGTTATTGACCCCATAAGAAGTGCCCCAACCTTAGGTAAAATTCACTACTCTTGAGTAATATTCATTATTATAATCTACAGTAATTGATTTGAATTTGATGAGCGACATTAATAGAGTTAATCCTACTCTGTACATTAAAGTGATAAACACAATTCGAGCAACATGCATGTTTTGATGAATTACATTAACCTAAAAATTCATTAATATCGGTTTAGTTTTGATGATTCGCTTGTTCAATATAAACGAATTTGAACCGTATATATGATGAGGCAGAATATAACCTAAATGAAATTAGTACTTAATCAAATCCCAACTTGAACTACTTAATCAATTTTGAACTCCCAACTACTAGCTAAGTGGCTTCTAGGAAACTGTTTTTATTTCCTTGGATCTGTAAATTTACCTTATTTGTTGGTTTTTGGATCACTAAGCTTCTCTTGGAAATTGGATCATTTTACTCTTTTATATTCTCTTTACAACGGAGCAAAAACAAAATTTATCCCTAATTACGCCTTAATCTTGTTCCTTAATATCTCTCTCCTATCTGACTCGGTCAGGGTGTCCTAAAAACTCATAAATGACAGGTCAATGAAACTAAGATTATATTAGATTCTTTATTTATGTACTCCGTATATTATATGGTGGACTCACCAATACCATTAATCATGGGGTACCCATTGTTTGAATATAAATAATCATATAAAAATTATATTGTAAGAATATTTAAGTATATAAATGGAGTATTTGTATATTCTAATTGAAGGCGAATATCCCACCACAATATGTTCGCATTAACATCGTAATCAAAGTCACCCCCTTAACAACCATTGAAAATCATGCGTCTGAGTGGTGTAGAGGTACTGTATAATTTATTATTTATGATCATAAATAAATTGTATTATAAAAAATTAATAAAAAGCATATTTGGGTTTATGTTAGTTTGCCAAGTGGCCTTCTTAGGACAGTGCTAGCTGTAACACTTTTATTGGCAAAACACCAAAAAGTAGGAGAAAAGGAACGGTTTATTCATGTGTTTTTTACATGTTATCAACTTTGATCTCGTCTCCTAAAATACCCACCTTTTCTCGATTTAACTCACAAGTAATTATGCTTCCATCTTCTTTCTGTTGCATGTAATCAATCTCCTTTAATTTAGAGATAACAACGTTATAGTTGATTTGTCGTCTTTTCTTCTTGTTAGGGGTAAGACTGCATAATACGCGTTTCTCTTTAAGAACGAGCATTTTAGAGATAACAACATCATACAGTACTCGATTTCTTATCTTCTCGGTTGTTAGGGGTATAAGACAGTATAATACGCGTTAGTCATGGGAAAATTCCGGTTTAAAGGTTAAATAGGTTGGAACTCTTGGAAGTGTGAGATAAAACAGAAAAAAAATTCTCACGTTGTAAACAGATTTTGTCGGTGAAGAAGATGAGGTGATTTATATAAAAGGTCCATATACTTTGATTGTGCAAAGTTGCATTCACATTCAGATTTAATATGAAAAAGTTTGTTACAATTGGACCACTAATTAATGCCATTTTTCAGCTTGAAGTATAAAAGTGGACTTAAAATACCAACGAATTTTATGTTTGTAACAACTTACTAGTATTAAACGTGGACGTTTAAGTGATAGCAACTCCTCTCTTTTCAAGAACCAGGACTTTCAATTTAGAATTAGTAGTCAAAATACGTGCATAATGATGTTTAAAAGTAAACGGGAAGAATGAGAGTAATATATTAAGTATATTAATTTCGTGATAATGACAAGAAGAAATTGGCAAAAATAGACTAATACGGACAAATATGTGTAAAATTATGAATTTGTGCTCGGTATGGACAAGCTTGAGTTTTGAATTATTTAGATTGCTTGTCCTTCGAGTAGGGTATAAAGAAAGAAATGCTTCAAAAACCATATAATTTAGTATCAATGACATCGACAAATTCGACAGGGAAAAAGAAGAAAAGAATTCCAAAATTTTGAATGACCTGTATATGCAAGCTGTAGTCTACAACTGTGGCTCATTCATATCAGGAAACCTATGAGAATGGCAAGCTAGCTTCTCTATACATGTAATAAACTTATTAGCTAGGGTGTAACAAGACTAAAAAATATGTTCATGATGTGCTGAAGAAAGCCTAAGAAAGCATTAGTTTTCAATCTATGGCTCGAAATCATCAGCCCTTCTGTATTATGCTTATACCTGTGTATGTGGGAAGAGGCCACCGGTGTGTATGTGTGTGCATGATGCAAACTGTACAAAAGTTGCATCTGGATGTGTATAGGAACATCCCATCAGCATGGAGGAGAGAGAAACTAGAGAATTCACGCGATTTGCAATGCTTCATCTGGTTGTTGTTCCAAACATTCATAAGGATTGGTATAGAAATAGTCCTCTTCTTTGGGTTTATTAGGAATCACAGTTCGGGTATGGGGAGTTCCCATACGGTCAGCATGAGCTTCCTTCACAGCAGATGAGAACTCATCCCAACTCAATGATCCGTCGCTGTATTGATCAATCAAGTGAACCAAGAGCTTCCTATCCAGAGAAATTGTCTGCTTGAAATCCATATATCTGCAAGAACAATAAAAATAGATATTGTACGATTTTATAGTAGAAAAAAAAGAAAAAATAAAAATAAAAAATCTGAATACAAGGGCTAAAATCAATAGCTTAGGTCATGCAATAAAAATTGCGATAAGGTCAGTCCTCCAGCTAGAGCAGACACTACAGAGATGCTTAGATGGTCCATCCCTTTCTAATTTTGGGGAACAAGGTTTCCATTCTGTTTTACATTGTAAATCAATCATATTTACGTCTTTATCCATGCAAAATTATACTTTGTATATATTATGCCACCAATATAAGTCAACAGATTTTACAAGCAGCCAGATAAAACAAGAAAACAAGTGATTAGGAGACGACGTGTAAAACTTGGTATCTAAAAAGCATGGCACATTACCTGCGATGGCCCTCGACAACTCTAGCCATGTTTCCATCATAAGTAGGAACAAATATATCACTCTCCAAAGAGACCAAATAGTCTAATGCAGCCATTTGAGAAGAGTGATTTTGGAAAAATCTCAAGTCTGACGGTTCAAGTAGGGTCTCCTTTCTCACCTGTTTCACAAAATTAGTCAAAAAAATTCCACAATAGAATGCAAAATGATACAAGTAAGCAATCAGTCCATGCTTATATTAGTACTAACCAAATTTGGGTAAGATGCGGCTAAGCTGGCCATTCTCCTTTTCCCTCCGTAAATTTCCCCTGAAGCAATATAAATTTGGATATTGCGATCAATTCCCAGTGCACTCAGGGTTAAGGCAGTTTCCTCAGGGGTCAATGGGCAGAGACCATCTCGCCGTTTAACATCTGAGTCTATGACTTTTTCCTTCCACCAAGGGTAGGAATACCTGTAAATTATTAAGCAATTCCAATGTCAGGATTTTTTTTTACTCTATACTTGATATTTTAAGCACAAGTTGAACCCAAACAAATTAAGTCTTCACCTCATATCTGTCAGATTTCTCGCCTCATCTGCAGTACATCCCTGAGTACAGCCTGAAAATGCTAACATATCCATTTCGTATCGAAGATGAAGAACCAGAAATTGGCCCTTTTCTCTCAGGATGTTGACAACCCTTTGCCCCAATTCCTCAATTTGAGGAGTGAATTTCAATGCTTGATAATTCACCTTACAGCGCAACTTTTGAATTTCGAGAGGCAACCCATTATTCGCAAGCCGGGCATCAGTTTTATTCAAGTGTACAATCTTGTTCTTCATGAACAAGGGAAGTATCTGTTTTTGGCAAGAAAGAAATTAGTCGTATTCCATAATTAGCACCATTAAACAGATACCATAGACTTATATTAATCCAAGATCCATAATATAAAAGGATTGTATAAAGCTAACCTGGTTATGATAATAGGAAAGGTCAGACCAGCTAACCGGGGCCAATGAATGAGCCGGTTTTTCTTCAATTCGACTCTTCATATGTGGTGGCAACTCTTTCAATATCCGAACTTCATCTCTCAATGAATTGATGAAATGATCAACATCAAATATGTCTTCGAAATCACTGAAACGAATTCAAATAAACCATTTACAAGAAGTTCTTTATATTCATGACAAACTCATTCAACTCGAAATCTACAATGTGAAAATAATACCTAGGATCCTGCCAAAATGAAGTTTTATCCAACTCCGGAACAATAAGAGTTACATTCAGATATCTAGCAATAGCAACCATATCACATATCTGCAAAAATAGTCAACTACAATGTTGGTAGGAGAAATTGAAAGTCTTACTACTGTCAAAAAATCAATTTCAATTTGTCAATCACAAAAATAGAGAATTAGGCCTATTTGATTCAAATTAGTACACATAATCAACATACCGCGGCACGCATTTGATTAAGTCCACCATTGCAAGAAACCATAAGGTAACCATTGTTCTTATAAACCCCTGCCCAAAGAAAAAAATAAATAAATAAATTTCACAATATCAGCCTAAGAAAACTCGTTCCCCAATAATACTAACTGCCAATTCTAAAACAGAGAAAAATAATCACATGACCAAACCAACAGAACTACCAAACTGCACAAATTAATCAACAATAATGACAATTAAATTCCAATAACTTTTAATAAATTCATGTACTATAATAGAAAACATACAAAAAGAAATAAAAATCAGTTGTTACAAAATACAGTACATGACTTCAACAACAATACATCATAAATGATAAAACTCAAATTAGCCTAAAAACCCAGCAACATAACAAACACCCTTCATCAATATAAAACAATTACGTAAACTTACTTCGTCCACAAATAATCACAGAACCCGAAAAAACTTACTTTTTGGGGGACGATCGATCTTAGGCAGGATTTGAGAGCTGTCAAGAACTTTCAAATGTGAATCATAATCACTATGATTGAAGCAACTGTAAGACCAACCTTTAATCGCACTTGCTTTCCAATTATCACCACTTTGTACAGTAGTAAGTGCCATTAAAACCAACCACAAAAAAATTGTAACAAAACCTAATTTTAATCTCTTAGATCGATGATTTGCCGCCATTGATGCTCTATATTTATCATTTTTTGGAGAATCACCCAAAATATTTTCAACTTTTATATCCATCTTCCATTCTCTTTCTCCTACAACACCGCCATTGTTAACACCTTTTCTCTCTCTAATCAACTCAGTTGAAGATTCTTCAACCTTACACATAATTAAGCTATATTCTTGAGGTTTTTGCTTTTTTTCAACAATACCCACCATTTATTGAGGACTAATTAATGAAAAGTTTCAATCTTTTCTACTCATTCAGATGTAATTTTGGAAAAAAGAATGATTTTATTCTGAGTATGCAGCTATTGTGAGGAAATACTCAGGAAATTTAAGCAAATTAACAAAGAATGGCAAGATTGATTCAATGAATTAAATAATACCTGAATTAATTATATAATTAAAGAAGATGCCTTGAATTTCTCAAATTTTCAGAAATTTTTGCGCGTCGGGGAAAGTGATTAAATCTGAGTGAAAAAGAATTTCTCAAGTCAAATTAATTGCTAAAAATTCCACACTAAATCAAACTTTTTTCGCAAAATAAAAAATTAAAACCCAGTAATGCTGATTAAATTCAACGTGACTAACAAACAAAAAAAAACAATGTATGATTTTATTATAGAAAAATCTGGGAATGTAAACCGGAAAAAGGGTTGAGAGAGAATTTAGAGAGAGAAAAGATAAGAGAGCAGAGAAATAAGAAGAGAATTGAGAGTATTTATTTATGTTAAGATGAGAGACCAGATTTTACATAACCTCTAATTACGGCGTCGGTGAGTGAGCAGAGACGAAAAAAGATATTTTTTTTTTTATTGAAAAAAAAATGAAATATATAAAATATAATAGGAAATGATTTCTTTAATTGGGTAACTACTTTATTAATTAATTAATAATATGGTAAGTCGTAATTATAATTGGTGAAGTATTTTATTAGTATATAATATAAGAGTAAGTGTTTTAGTATGAGAGGGAATATAATTATGAAGATTGTATATTTTTACATCATTTATTTATATCTTAATTGGGAGGTGTAATTATAATTTTTCTTCATTCCTTTTAAATCTTTTTATTTGTATTTGGACTACTTCTTATTGTTTGGTAAATTGATTGGCACTTAGCTAAAGAAGGTTAATCAAAGTGAAGTTTTGGTCGATTAAACCTTCTTTATATTGATAAAGGGTTGAAAATTTATTTGCTCTTATCAAATCTAATTTTTACTTATCAGGATTTATTTGATTTATATCAGTTATGGTTACCAAGCTATATTATGTTCTTATATGTATGATTTACTTCATATTTTAGAGGAATTGTAACTAGAGGATATTCAATTGAATCAAACTAGTAAAATATATGTTTTAATAATTGAGATTTTTTTTCTTGATTTGATTTGAATAAACCTATTGATGAAGACATTGTTTCTCAAATATCATGATTGAGATTTTCCTAAATAAGGTTAAAACGCAAAATAATTGTAAATTTGTAATTACATCTTAACATAACTAACTTCAAGGTGATTATTCCATTATAATATTTCATTAATTTTTGATACTAATTGATTGCCAAAAAAAAAAAAAAAAAAAAAAGATAGATTTGTCTAGTTAAAAAAAGATAGAATTATACAAGGGTGATGTTTAACACTTTATAGTTATCAGAATACTACAATTTAACTACCACAATATATAATACTACGTATAAAAGATGAAATTATATTCATCATATTCTTGGTATATTATGTAATTGTGATCATAATGTAGTAAATACTCCCTTAATCCCTAAATTAAAAGCCTATTTCTCTTTATTATGTGAGTAAATATTAGAAATAGATTTTTAATAAAGAGACGGAGTAATTAAGAATCTTGGTTTATCCTCTAATATCAGTATATCACTAATTTCTACATGATGCATATTTATAATAAGAATGATGAAATAAATACTAAGAGTTGGGCACTGACATTGGCATCACTGTGTTGTGGGGGCATTGATCATGCCATTCATTCACGAAATCACAACACACGTCGAAATAATTATTGTTTAGGGTCCTTCTATTGAAACTTCTTTCATCTTTCCTAATTTTACTAATTGTACTTGGTTCATTGCATTTTTTGTGATTTGTGGTTGTTGGAATTCTTTTTTTTACTTTATATCATGTGTTCATATATACATATAAGATTTTGTTTTGATTTAGAAACTATTTGGTAATATCATTTGAGATAATCGTTAGGGTTTCGACTTGTCGAAACATAAGTTGAAAGAAATAATATAGAGTACTTTCTCTATCCCTATTTTTTTTTTACCCCATTATAAATAATTGAGTCAAACTTTAATAACTTTTGAACATAAATTCCCATTAATCTATAAGAGATAATATAATCATGTGGGTCTTGTTGAATTCGTCTCATTATATATATTACGGAGTATAAATATCAAGTTTTATAATTTTTATGCGTAGCTTTAGGAGATTGTGCAAAGTCCAATAAGACAAAAAAAATAGGGATAGAAAGAGTATTAATGATTAATATTTCGACAAATACTACACTAATTTAATTTTTTGGTGGGGAACGCTTAAGGGATACTTTGTAGCTTTAAGTCTTCCACAAGTACAATTTATTTTATTTTTAAAAAATAAAAAAAATCTTTGAATTTGAAATGATATGTGAAAGATTGAGATTTGAGAATATATACATTAGTACTACTTCATCTCCATCAACTGTACAATAGGGTCATCCTGTTGTTCTCTTAACCTTAGATATGTATTTATTGGAGAAGAATGGTTGTAGGTCCCTAGTAGTAATACGTATTAGGACAAATGTTGTTACGTTGTATCGAGGAATATGGAAATAAGTTGGTACAAATTATTGAGTAAGTGCTCCGGCTTCTCTCTCCAATTCAAAATTTAAAAATACACGTTATAAAAAAATTTAATCCTTATTTGTTCGATTATAATGATCTAAGGGTCTAGATTAGTTTATAATTTTCATTTTAGCCTCAGGTTCTCACATGATCTCAGTTCGTTATAATATAATTACTAAAATTATTCTGGTCCTAAGAAATGAAATTTTTACCTATACTTTGGATAAAAAAGAATGAGCTAAAAATAACCTATAGGAAGTATATAATTAATATGGTAGAGAATAGTTTTAAGAATTCACTCACTGTCATGCCATAGAGCATTATGTATATTGTACATTTGTACATAATTCGTTTCTTTTACTGTGTCATTTTGTACTTTATAATAATTAAGGCTAACTATAACCGGTTCACTTGAATTTTATCTTGTGAAGTAATCATTTATGAGAGAGTTAATAGGCAATTTTTATTGTTGGTCGAAGTCATGCAACCTTAGCAATAAGCAGACTAGCTAAAAAAACAAAGGCATGCACACATCCAGCAGCCTTGGATTATTGGAGGTGGCAAGGTACATACACACTTGTTTCTAACTCAATATATATTAAGAATTATAGTGAGAGGTTTGTTGATCACTTGTATTATAAGGATAAATGCTAAAAAAGAAAGTGCGTGAATACTGAATAGTGTAAAAATTTAATTGGTGTAAGAGTTTTGCAAAATTCATTGAATATAGGAATTGAATTAGGATTTTGAGAGCTAACACTTTTGTTTGGAATGATTACTTAAATTTTAGGAGCGCTCTTGAAATTTTCATTGTTTTCAATCAAAATACATGTGAGGAGATTTTTTAAAAAAGTGAATTCTTTGAAATGAATATCATATTGTACATAAACTACTATTACGTACGTTACAAAAAGGCTATTGATCGAGTTTACAACAGTTTTGAACTATATGTGTAATAAACTAATAAAGACCCTATGAGGACTCTTGATAGGTTGAATTGAAGGGGATATATAGATAGGGAGTGTTTTGGTCGAAAACTTAGCACAAATAAGTACATTTTCGTAGAGCTTGGTGGGAAGTTTATAAGAAGGCTACGAATTACACGCTCATAATTATAATGGACCTATCCATTTTCTCACTATGCTACATGTGGCAACAACAAAATTAATTATAGTACATACATTTAAACATTGATACCATTTGTACGTGTATACTTCCTTGTTCCCTCCAAAATATTTTTTTTTAAAAAAAAAATAAAAAAAAATAAAATTCCCTTGATTAGCAAATAGGAAATTCAGAGCGAATGAGTCAATAAGAACTCTACATGCCTCATCATGTACTACTACGTATGTAAGTATTTATCTTTTCTCTTCAATCCCTTTGTCTTGTTATAGTATTAGTCTACTACAAATATTTAATCTTTAACTGTCTCGCATTATTCTTTCCTATGGAATACGTCAACTAAATTTATATCAACCATTGTGCATTATTTGTGCTTAATTGGTTTTTTTTTTTTTTTTTTTTTTTTTTTTTTTTTGTGTGTGTGTGTGTGTTTAAAGAGTTACAAAGACAAGGGTGGGAATCAATTCCAGGATTTCTTGGAACCGGGAGAGAAACTCTAACCACTTGAGGTATCCCTCAGTCTCATTATTTGTGCTTAATTGTACATAAAACTAGATAATTTTTACAAATTATACTTCGTATATTTCAATGAAATTGGGTTTAGACCAATTAGAAATTCCCACTTAGCTTTCTCATGCCAATTTTATCTCAATTAACTTTAGGTCTCAAGTGTATAAAGAGTTACAAAGACAAGGGTGGGAATCAATTCCAGGATTTCTTGGAACCGGGAGAGAAGCTCTAACCACTTGAGGTATCCCTCAGTCTCATTATTTGTGCTTAATTGTACATAAAACTAGATAATTTTTACAAATTATACTTCGTATATTTCAATGAAATTGGGTTTAGACCAATTAGAAATTCCCACTTAGCTTTCTCATGCCAATTTTATCTCAATTAACTTTAGGTCTCAAGTGTCATATCCAATCATATAAGTTCAATAGATTAACAAATATTTTGTGTAATTTTAAAATATGATTCTCACTAGTTAAGGAAGCCTCCCTTATTAATTAGCAATTTTTGTATTATTATTGAAAAAATCAAAACAAGTGAAAAAAAGGATACACATCGGCTTTCTTGCTAGCTTATTGGCCTAGTATAAATATGATTCCTACGTTGGGTTTTTTATTTTGATCCCATTTCAAGAAATCACTCCTTAGATTCTATCATTTTTTTTCGAGAGCTAATTAACATTTACATAACGCAACATTACATGGAAGTAGCGTATAATGCACTAGCACCGGAAGAATAATGATCATAGAAAACAACTTATCCTAACTTTATGCATGATGCAATACATGATCACTCATATCATGTATCGACATAAAAGTAATTTGCAAAACGACTAATTTTTCTGATAAAAAAAAAATTGGAGTCTAGAATGATTTACGTAGTGACGAGACATTAACTTTCTAATGAATCACATTAACTTTCTAATCAATCACAATATAACTCCTTCAAATAGAAGTCTCACAATATTCTAGATATAGTAATAAGATATATAGGGCTTGTCAAAAATATATAAAAAAAAAATAATAAATAAAAAAAAAAAAAAAAAAAAAAAAGAAGATATATAGGGTCGTGTTATTAGGGGCATGGAATGTAACATCCGTTGCACGGATGGGAAATCAACGTACGCTCTACTTCAAATATGATGGCTCAACAACTTACATTTAATACGTAGCCTCATTTTCCTCCCATATTAAGATATGGGCCTGCTTTAGAAAGGACCAAGGATTATTATTTCTTTTTAATTCATTTTTCTTCGAAATAGAATAATTTTTTTCTTGAAGTTTCGAGTGTGCATGC